ACTATTTTGAATTGTTGAAGAAAAACTGAACTTCTGAAATCTTCAAAATTTGAAGATTTATTAGTACTATCAACTCCATCAACTCCATCATTAGATAGTACTGTTACTGGTAATTTAATTATAACTTCACAAAATGAAGAAAAAATTATTCAAAATTTAATTGATAAATTACCATATAATAATATATTAGATACAAATAAATATATTAATATTGACAATTTATATAGAAGTGTTGATTTAACAAATGAAGAAATAATTGATATAATTCAAGATAATTCAAGTGAAATAGTAGAAGAACCAGTTACAATTGAAAGTGCAATTAGCAGTATAAATAATGTTTTACAATTTATAAAACAAAATTCTGAGTTAAAAATAGATAATAACGAAAAAAAACTTCTTTATACTATTCAACAAAAATTTAATAATTTAAATAAGTAATTTTAAAATAATTAAGATACTATAAGTTTTTTAAATTATATTTAAGCTTTATAAGTTTTTATAAGATCATATTTAAGTTTTATAAGTTTTTAAGATTATATTTAAGTTTTTATAAGTTTTAAGATTATTATTAAGTTTTATAAGTTTTTTTAAGTTTATATTTAAGTTTTTATAAGTTTTTAAGATTATATTTAAGTTTTTATAAGTTTTAAGATTATTAAGTTTTATAAGTTTTTTTAAGTTTATATTTAAGTTTTTATAAATTTTTAAGATTATATTTAAGTTTTTATAATTTTTTAAGTTATTTTTAAGATTATATTTAAGATTTTTAAGTTTTTTAAATTTTTTTTTAGATTAAATTTAAGTTTTTATAAGTTTTTTATAAGTTTTTTTTTTAAGATTATATTTAAGTTCTTTATAAGCTATTTTTAATATTTATAAAAATATATAAGAAATATAAAATTTGGCAAAATCTGAATAAATTATATATATGATATAAAATTTAAATTTATTATAGAAATTCTATTGCAATTTGTTTATTTTGGATTTATAATAATTATAGAAATTACTTTTTATAGTACATATTCACTTTTGCTATTCATAATAACAAAAAACAAAACCTAATTTCTTAAATGACAAAACCTAATATCTAAACTCTGAAAAACTATAAAAATCTGATAAAGCTATGAAACCTCTAACAAAGTACCGTACCATTCCGAAATTAAGCACCTCCCAAAATTAAGCACCACCAAATTTTGTATAATATCCAAAAATAAGCACCCCCTAAGTGTAATCGTATCGGATTTTTTACTAATCAAGTCTACTATCTGTTTCTAAGTAAAGATATTCTCCAGGTCAAGACGATTCTAATGGTGGTAAAATTATCAAAATCGATTCAGTAGAACTATTACAATTACTCTTAAAAGTTCAGACAACATTTACTTACATGACTACAGATTATGTAAGCAAATGTAAACAAATGTCGACTGAATTTTGAAGAGCAATTACTAAAGTTCTACTGGATCAATTTTGGCGATTTTACCATCGTTAGAATCGTCTTGACCTGTAGAATAACTTTACTTAGAAATAGTAGGAAAGTTTACTTAGCACAAACCCCTTATTATTGGTTTTTAAATTATATCCGAAAATAAGCATCCCTTATAACAAAAAAAGGGTGCTTAATTTCGGAATGGTACGGTAAAATTTGACAAAGACAAACTTCTGCAAAAGCACAGTCTCCGGAGAAAAACAAAATGCTATACTATAGTTTGTAGGCCAATTCATTTATTACAAAAGGTGACTTTATTGTGAAGAATGTTGCCACTATGAAAGTTAGAATGAATATGCATTGAATTGTGAATTCGGGCTAGATAGTTGAATATATTCTTGATTTATAGCTGTTTTCATAAATTCTGGAACACAAAATTTTTCTTTTCCAAAATCATCTTGATCCTGTCCTAAGAATCACCTAACTTTTCAAAAACTGCATCGCTATTCTCAGAACTTCAATCAGAGGCAGCAACATAGCTTCCGAAAAGTTGGGTAATTCTTAGAACAGGATCGAAAAGATTTCAGGAAAGAGAAATTTTTTAAGTGTTCCAAAATTTATGAAAAAAGCTGTAATTTGAATTTTTATGCAAGTTTATTAAATTTGATTGCATAATCAGCATACTGAAATACTATAAATATTTACTAGTTTTTGAGCTATAAGTTGAACCATATACAGTATATCTGAAGTTCGCTTCAATATAAATATTATTCAAATCTCAAAATAGCACCCATGTGTGCTATTTTGAAGCAAAATTTTAATGTTTATTTCGAAATAGCACACATAGGCATACCCAAAATAATGTGTACTCAAAATAACATGTACCTGCACGTTATTTTGCAAAAATACAGTAGTTAGTTTATTGTTGATTAACATTTGGCTTAAGATCTGTAGAAGTTATATATTTGAGAGAATGATATTTGAGCGCTGCGAACATCTCAACTCTAAGCCTAGCAAGTATTCGATAATGAATGAATATTTTATATTCATCTCTTTTGACCATTAAATTTCATCTCAATTATATTGCCAACTTAAATCACTACCTAATGTTGTTAGTCGAAATTATTTAGACATTTAGGCATTTAGGCAAATTGAATTTAGACAATTTCGACTTTGCCATTTTTTAAAAAATTACTATTAAAAAATAAATTTAGACATTTAGACATTTAGACAATTTAATTTAGACAAATTTTGATATTAGTAAAAACAATTTTGACTAACAACATTATCACTACCTATAATAAATCTGTAGATAACACCTTGGATATTTACTAAATTATATATTTCTATACTTCAAAACACCTTGAAATAAACTGCATATCACTTTATATTTTGATTAATATTTTTGTAGTTCGCATTAAGCAATATATAACACGTTATTTAAAGTCTAATACCTAGCCAATTATAATTTTATTTACATCTGCCATGTATTTACAACCAATTAATTAGTCTTATTTGTAATTCGTAAACAACATTAAAAAGTATTTATTACTAACAAATTTTTTTTCATAGTGTAAGTGATAACAACTATTTAATACAAAAAATCTGTATTAACTGAGTAAGGTATTTAAAATATAAATATTATAAAGATTTTATCGACCTTTAATCACTCTCGATATACCGACGCTCGATATATCGACACTCTTACAAATCATCTGATCTACATTAATTTAACTATTTATATACAAGTCGATATATCAAAGAGATGAAATCATATGATTTATGCATAGATCAACTGATTTGTGCAAGTGTCGGTATATCAAATGTCGATATATCAAGAGTTGACCGTATTAATATGTAACAGGTCTTTTTCTTCCATTCATGCTAAATCCGGGAATGTTCATTAAAATTCTGCTCTAAAATTTATGAAATAAATAGTTAATAGATACTTTACAGAAACATTTCTCAAGTAGTGCTAATAAATCGTTTATTAACCAAAATTATAATCTATTCAATTCCTATTTGCACTAATTTATCTGCAAGCATCATTTTATTAAAATTCAATAATTAAATCATTTGCACTAATAAATTATTAGGATATCTCTGTTAATAGTGGAACTTATTTTTTTTGATAACTATTTTCCCCGATAGTTATGTAAGGATATACATACTAATTAAGAGTAAAAATTTAGAATTAATGTTTTTAGGAATTAAGTGTCGAGAAAATTATTGTAAGGAAATCATACAAACTATTCTGTTAACACTATTAACACTATCCAACTCATGCTTAATAACATTATAAGAAAACACTACACAGGTGCACGGAATTTTAAATGCGAGACAACACTAAATTTCACGTAAATATATGCGGGACAACACTAAATTGCACGCAATATATGCGGGACAGTACACTGAACAGCATATCCAAAACAGTATAAAAAAAAACGCAACATTAGGGGAGGGCCAGAAAACACGTGTTTTTTTGGGGGGGAGGGGTCTTTTCAAAAAACACGTCTATATATAGAAAAATCTAGAAGATAAGAAAACTAGGGGAGAGGGGGGTAATTTTGTCAAAATAAAAAACACGTGTTTTCTGGCCCTCCTCTTACACGTATTAACGTGCATTTTTGCGTGTTTTCACATATTTTTTATATGTTGTTATGTATATTTTACGTGTAGTATCGTATTTTTACATGCTTTCTGTATACTTTTCCTTACAATTACGTATGACTCTGTGTTTTTTTCGATAATTGATTTCCATGTTGTTCCGTATAAATGTTCTTGCAGAGACTTAAGTACGTGCTTCTTCTGTACCAAATTCCATAGTAGTGCGTGCATTTCCGTGTACTGATTTCTTGTAAAGATTATAGTTCTGATAGAGTTCAGAAACTAGTAAACCAATTGGTATTCATGACTTGTATTCGTGACTGGTTATTATAAGGAAAATCCGACTACTTGGAGATTTTAGATTATTTTGATCATTATGATCCTATTACTTTTTGAATCAAAGGGATGCAAGTTTTTAGAAACTATTCTCATTATATTGTAGGTTGTTTTAAAAACTATTTTCATTATATTGTAGATTGTTTTAAAAACCATGATGTCATCCATTCACCTTACACGTATGTTTCAAATAAAAATGATGTATATTTATTTTTTCTTTTACAAAATTTTCAAAGAGAAATGCTCGATATGATTTCTTTAGAAATATCGTTGGTTTTCATGCCATTGAAGTTGCTTTTATGACATTATAATCCGTTTCAAATTTGGAAACTCAGATGTCTGGTTGGCTCTAATAATATTTCTGTATGCTGATATAATGGATGTGACTAGCACTCTATTCAATGACAGAATTCGGCAGTTTTTTTATATGAAATTGGTATTTTGAAAACCCAAATACAACATTTATATGTGATGCTTCAATTTCGATAGTACTATTTTTGGTACATCACCTATCTTAAGTGTATTGAATCTGGTTCTTGTATTACTGAACATATCATTCTTTTTATTTATCTCATTATTCTTTACTCTTATTTTGTTAAAGCTTTTAATCCTGTTTTAGTTTATTGTATTACAATAGCAAAGAGCGTTAAAGGTATTAATTGGAAATATATTTGGTGCCGTGTCTAGTTTCTAGTAAGTCTCCACTTTATCAATGACCCTTTATGTATCATTTAAGCTTAATATCATCATATTTGGTTTTTACCTTGAAAATTACTATGTCCAATAAGAAAAGACATCATTTGAGCATATGACGCATGATAAATTAGATAAAGAGCCTTGGATTGATTTTATGGTTGGATCAGGTGGAGAAGGATTATTACACTTGGCCTGTGACCATTGTTTATATGATTCGTGGTGAAAAAGAACTGTGGAACCAAAAGAATCCATCAAAATAAATAAGACAAAAGAAATAAATAATGTGAATAATAACGTTGATATTGATGTAAAGAATGAGTAAAAACTTTTTAGTTGTTTGTTATTAATTTTCAAGGTTTTAATTTAGCAAAAT